GATGCCATCTACAGTCATGGTCGCTGCAAAACCAGTAGCACTGCATTAAATTGGATCCCATGATGATGATTCAATCCGAGGACTACATTTACATACTGTTAGTTACAGTCACATATATAAACATTGTTCTGAACAAGGTGTTTTTCCTAAGTCAAAATCCGTCATGCCCAAAGTGGGTTAAAGGGGCAAGACAGCCTTTGTAATCTACAAAATTATACACAATTGCTTCCAAAGGAGAACGATGACAGACATCAATGACGCAATGTAACCTGAGCTGTCTGAACAGAAAGAACTGTTGACTATGGATAAATTTGTATTTGTCCACTGATGCATCTTCTGGCCTTAAAAATCTGAAAGGGAAAAGGCCCATTCTTCCAGAGCATGGAATCTTAAAACAAGGAGAACAGAACCAAGTTTTGGCTGCCAATGTTCTTGCTAATTTGCAGTGCTCTTTCCATTTCAGGCATCACCATGCTCATATGCATGGTATTTACCATCCCAGTACTATCTTTCCTCCTTCATGACCCTTGAAGATGGAGTGAGCCATAGAGCCAGATAACATCACCATCCATAGGATATCATCTCCAACAATACAAAAATATGAATATAAGGGTCTTGCTATGTTTTTCATTGGTCTCATTTTCTATCTCATCATATTCCTTCCTTTCCTTCATACCTTCATTTGCTGGCCATCTGCACTATTAGGAGTCTGGGGCAAACCAATTTAATTCTGATCAAAGCAGTCCAGAGCAGTCCACCCTTAATAAATAAAAAAAATTGCCTTCCACAAATTAGTCACAGGAAAGTGAGAGCATAAAGTAGCCAGAATTTGCTAGTTAAGTTCTGTAATTTCTCAACAACTGAGAATATTCAGGCATAGATTTCAGTAATTTTTGATCTTCTGATGCTTTTATTTCTCAGACCTCTTTTCCCCCTCCCCATTCTCTTTACACACACATATGCACAATACTTGAATGTTTTGCTTGTTGTTTTTACCAAAAAAAAATCTAAGCAGGTTATGCAGTACCATATGTAATGTTGACACAGTTTGCCAATATCAAGACAACTCAGCATGTGTTAATACACACTTGTTACCTACAAGGCCTGAGAAAGAGAAAAGCAACCCATGGCCAGCCTGAGTCACCACTACACAGAATCAGAAGACATATTACAAATACTTTTCACTGGGGGACTGCAAAAAGCCTGAAAGCATGAATGAAGTGAAACCAACATGTTGGCCTGAGAGTGCCTCAAAGACATGCTAATGGTCCTACACATCGCAGTCATAACCACTTTCCATTTTTGCTGCTGAAAGCTGCAGCAGTTTTCTTAAACTGAGGATTAAGCTGAATGCAACAGACACGTGTAGTATTTGTTGCTTTCAGAGTACTAGGCTGGATCTATCTCAACAGGCTGCATATCATGGGCCAACAGTCGCAACAGTTCAGGTCAAGAGAAAAATACAGTGCCACCTGCACTCATATTAACCAAGAAAAACAGAAGTAAACCAAACTGTCATTATCTCCTACAGAAAACATCACTCCCACTACTATTCCCAGAGAAAAGACCCCAAATCCTGCAGAGATGAATCCATGTAGCATCTAGGAGCTGCAACTGAGATTTTTGGAGGAGGTGTGCGCATGTTCCCATATACTCATAGAAGAGGGAACTGCGTTCAAATAAAATTTCACAAGTCTTAAAACTGCAGAGTGCTGGGTTCTTTGTGGCAGTAGAATTTGCTTTACACATGCAAAGAGCTGTTAATAACGTGAGGTGGAGATGAAGGATGACATATGAATAGACCAAGTAAATGAGTCTGCAGGAAGCCATGGATGTGCTTGAATCACGATTCCAATTAGATCTTCCTTTAAACACTGTAAAAGTGTTTATTATCATTAAATTAGCTCAAGCAAAATCGTAAGTAGAACATATAATAGGTAATTTTTTTTTCTTTTCAGTTTAATACAGAAGGGTTTATTTTATTTTTACCAATTAATTTTGTTCTGTTTCAAAAGGTGTGTGAACACATCAGGAGAAAATCAGTTATATTTGGCACTTCACTATGTTAGTGCAATGAGCCATATAACAAAATTTTGAAAAGCAAGTTTTCTCTTATGATTCATTATGTTGAAATAGCTACCTCTACATACTTCCTATTTGCTATTAGAAAAATATTTTATATAATGCATATTCCTAACAGCAATGGCACTTTCATTAAAACAAATTTTTCACTATTACTGCCTCATCTGACCTTTTGCCGCTCTTTGGTGTATGGGTCATCTGGACGACCTGCAGGAGGATTTAATCTAACTCCCATCTTCCTCAGGAAATTTTTTGTAAATTGGTCACAATCTATAATCTTGTACCTTCGGGCATAAAGGATTACTTCTATGTTGATATTGAAATGATCTATAGTATAGAACTGATCTTCATGAGGAGGTGGAAGTGGAATCCGATGCCGTCGAACAATAGTTCCTGTAAAAGAATAGATTTACAGAGTAAATACCCTTTGGTCTAAGGATCACTTCACAAACTTGCTAATTTTCTATGCTGATATGACCAAGCCGGATGAAGCCATATGGGACAAACAAAATTATCCTTAATTCAGCAGAACTATTAGGTTAGAGGATTCTTTTTATTAACAACAATACTTTATGCTGATCATCTTCTACAACCTCAAGTTCTAGTATTTGACTTAAGTTGATACAGAAAATTTCCACTTTCTGGAGCAGACAGGAAAACACCGGAATAAATCCCCATGTGTTGCTGCAAATGTAACAGGTTAGTATTTTTTCAACAAGGAGCAAAGAAACTGCTCTCATTAAAAAGAGAGATGTCTTTTCCACTGTTTCTGAGAAGCAAAGCAGTCTCCAGTACTCATTAGTGTCATTAATTTTTCTTAAAAAAAATAAACAAAAAACAAAAAATTGTGCAAAAAAACACGCGGAAGGGGTGTGTAGGAGGGACTAGATTTGTCTATGCTCTGCAGGGTGAGGAGAGCCATATATAGCTAAGGTTAGAGAGAAAAAATGCCCCGTCAAGGAAAAAAAGTGTGATGCCTCAAGCATGAAAGCAGGTGCATTTAACTGAGCTTCCTAAAGGAGCAAACCGAAAGTAGAGACCACTGAGATGAGTTGGGCTGATTGCTGGGCTGCAGTAGAGAAATGTAAATATTGATCCATCTCAGACATACAGAGCCAGGAACTCATAACCCATAGTCTAAGAGGAACTATACAAAAGAAAGGGAAAATAAAATAAAAAAAAGAAAATAAAAAAGAGAGGTATTTTAAAGTAAGTACACACTTAAGTTTTCTTCTTGACAGTCTTTAAATGAAAGGACTGTTATTCTCTCATATGGAAAGATTGAAAGAGCTGGGTCTGTTCAGCTGGGAGCAGAAATGGCTCGGGGGGGTGGGGGGTGGAATTGTATCAATGTTTAGAAATACCTGACGGGAGGGAATGAAGATGACGGAGCCAGGCTCTTCCCCGTGGTGCCCACTGACAGGGCATGAGGCAATGGGCACAACTAAAAGATATAAAATTCCATCTGAACACAAGAAGACACTTTTTCACCGTGAGGGTGATGAAACACTGGAACAGGCTGCCCAAAAAGATTGTAGAGTCTCCATCCTTGGAGATACTTAAAACCCAACTGGACAAGGCCCTGGGCATCTGGCTCTAGATGATCCTACTTTGAGTAAGGGGGTTGGACTAGGCAATGTTAAGATGTCCCCTCCAACCTCAACAATTCTGTGATACAGTAAGTATTTTAGAAACAACTTATAAGCTACAGCCTCAATAGGTTAAGCAAATATGTAACGCATACATTAAAGAAAGGTATGCAGCTGCATGTATGACAAGCTATGATTTATCCTGAGTGACGTTAGAGTTCACAAAGAACAGCATATTGGCAAAGCTGGGACTAAACTTTTTTTCAACATTATGAGAGAACAAAAAGGACAACAGTGAGAGTTTTCCCACATCAATACCTTAGTATAGTTGTGTGAAAATAGCCTGCAGAAAATAAAAAGATGGTCCAGTCTTCAACATCAGGCTCTTTGCTATGCTTACCAACCCAGACACATTTGTAACACCAGCTTTATAATATGGGTACCCACTGGCTAAGACCAGACAGGAACCACCAACCCACACTATTATAACAATTCCTTGCCACCATAGGTTCCCAACAACTTCAAAATTACAGTAATTATAAACGGTGCAACTTTAAGACAACTACAGTAAACACATAAAAATTCCAAAACTAAAAATAGTTCTAGTACTAACCTACTACTACAATAATAGTTTACTAGACACAATTATCTAAAAGATCTGTCTCATTATCTCTCACTACAGAACTGGATCTCTTTCCAGTGCCCTTCAGCTGTGCATCTGGTAGTGTTTCCCACTGAGTCCCATTTGATGATTTTCCAGCACTGCTATTTTGTTTTAGGGGTAGGTGGGAGTGGAGGGGGCCTGAGGAGAAAGGGGATGAAGAGAGGCAGAGGAGGAGGGAGAAAGATATTGTTGTGTCATTTTGTTTGGTGTTTGAAGGGCCTGATATCTGAGTTAGCCTATGGAAATTCTTTATTGTCCGCTTTATTTCCCTAAGGACTAATCTCTATGAAATACCTTCCACTACTACGTTATCAGAGTTGTTTGCTAAATTCTAACTCCTACAATGAAAACATACCCTTAATTTTTCAGGGGAATAAAGTAACAAAGCAGATTTACTTTATGTTCCCATTAAAATAATTATTTAAGACCTGTTCAGCACCCTGATGTTTCACATGTACCAAATCCCACATTCTGGTTACTTAACTTTGACTGTAAAATAAATTTGAATCTCTATCTGCTTAGACATACTTATACATGTATTCAAGATGCATCCTCATGGAAATATTAGTTAGAAAACATGGTAATTAGCACATTTTAATATAATGTAAAACTGCATTGCATTAGCATTAACAAAACCACATACTTTAAAATACATTACCTGGTTTTGGCTAATCCTTGGGTCACTCCTACAAAACTCAACAGATAATATGCTAATTCAGAACGGTCCTCCGCATAAATGAAAATCCTATTGAATCATCATTTTAGTGAAAATATAATGGTTGACAATTTTCTAACATAACATGTTTTCTGAGGGTATATTCACCTCAGAACTGGTGAATAAGCCTTCAGCTAGTTTTTCATATCACTTTTCAAAGTCTAATACACATGCCCATTTTGTTCTGAGGGATAAGAATTTCCTTCCTAATGGAAAATGTCTTGTAACGATAATATCTGTAGCAATCCTTTACTTTTATCAGGTATCACTGTGCCTGATCTACACATGTAGAGGATAGATTCTATATTGTTGAATTTGAAATTCAATAAAACCTGATCAGCTGAGGTTAGGTCTCACCATTTTTAAATTGTCCATCCTTCTAGAAAATAATTACATTTCTACGTCTAGAATTTTGCTACAAGTTGTTAAATGAGGATCTGGGCATGTGCAACACTCAGGTTGCTCAGAATGGATGGCTATTCTTGATGTTTCTTTTGTCTTTTCTCAGTTTATTGAGCAGACTATCCTATTGCACCCCCAAGCATTATTTTAAATATTTGCATCTGGTCAGGCTAAAGCTCTCCTCCACTGTGCTCTTATAAAGGAAGTTGGGGCAGTGCTTTTTTCTGACAGTGGTGGTAGCATTGAGTTCCCATACCATAACTTGTAGTATATCTTCTTTTCTCTCAGGGCTTCTGAGTATTTGGCAACTACAGAAGCAGCTTAAGGAGACCTTAATAGTAGTGAAGGCCTTTTGACTACAGGGCAGCTCATGAAGCTGGGCAGCAAATGATTTGGTCTCTGCTGCTACACTGCTCTGCAGAAGAAATAAAGTGGTATCAAGAATTCCTCAGCGCAGCCTTCTGACTCCCTCTGCACTACTCAAGAGTGCATTAGAGAGAGGACAGGAATGGGCAATGCCTGGAGTTTGTACACTCTTTGACTGCTTGCACAGAAAGGAGGAGAAGCAACCACTACTATTACTGCAATACAAAGAGTTCACACCAATAAACAAGGAGGCTTCTTACACTCACGTATTCACCCGCCTCAGAACATAGCAAGGTCATGACTTGGCCACCATTAAGTATGGCAAAATGACAATTATTTCAAGGCCTCAGGGGAGGACTTAAACTCTTAGATAATTGGTTATATTGGAGGAGCTGACTGCAACTTCACTTTCCTGCTTGTCCTTTCCTCTTCAGCCAGCCGGCCTTGGGAACCCAGCCAGCAGGCAGCTCCACTCTCTTTTTCAGCTGGCTGACCTTGGGGAAACCAGCCAGCTGCTCCACTCTGCTCTGGCTTGCAGGGCCTGGATTGCACTGGAAGCTACAGTCAACCCCATGGGACATAAATGACCTTTTGATAAGGCAGTATCAGCCAGCCACAGTCCTGTTAACTGGGAATTAGATCTACAAAACACTTGCACTGCCATATCTAGCCCGGCGCTCTGTGGGAGAATTTCTTTTTATATGAGAAGAATAATTAGCATTCTGGCTCTGGAAGAATACAGAGGAGTTTGTTATGCGGTCAAGTTTACTGTCCTTCTCTTCACTCTGTACTCCCTTATCTTTAGCTAGTTTTTGTGCGCTGCGATTGTCCTGGTATTTTTTGCTTTGATTCTGGCTTCTCAAGTTCAGGTTGGCCTCTGCATTCCTTTGTGTTTTGCACTGAATTTCTCTGTTTGTATAGATTTCTTCTAATGCTTGTAATATTTTCCAAAGTTCAAGCTATAGCAAGTCAGTTTCCAAAACTAAATGAAGTTTAAATTTCAGTTATTTGGTAGCAACCTTATCTGTTCAAATTCATGTCCAAATACAGCAGCCAATTCCATAAGGCACTTTTTTAAGGTCACTGAAATACATTTCCCACGGATCATTTACTGTGTCACTCTGAGATTTTGATCAATGGCAAAAGCACATTTCCTGGTTTTTCTTTTTTTCCCAAAGCAAATTTGTTATAGTTTTCTAAAATCATAATCAAAGTTAGAAATTCTTCCCACTTCTTTGAAAGCAATTCCTTCACCAAATCTTCCTGCAGTCCATAAGCCTCTCCAAGTTTTTTTTTCTGCAAAGCCACAAGTGCTATCCACAGTGAAGAGTACAGTGGGAAACTACCATATTTCCCTCATCCTACCATGCCCAGGGACACCCATTCAGATCATCAAGCTCTCACTTGTGGGTTACGGCACAAGCACTGGTAATCCCATGGCCTCAAGGCATTAACCAGCCAAGCTCAGAAGATCTACCTTTGATCTACCCTACCACCTGCCTTTGATCTACCCCACCACTGCTATATCTACTCTGCAAGAAGACTCCTGAGAACAGCTATTTGAGCTGTCTATTTTACATCTTTTCCGACGGGGTAAACATCCAAGTTAAGGTCACCACCACCTTCTGCCCTCACCAGTTCAATTTCACTTTTTCTGTCACATTTTTTTTGCTGTTCCTCCTTTACACAACCCCTTTTCTGCCACTGCAACTCTCCCAACTGTCCATGCAGACTGAGCCTACCCCACTCCTGATGTTCCCGCATTTCTTTCTTCACCCACATCCCCACACCTGTGCTCTTTTGTTCAGTGCAGTTTGCCTTTCAACAACCCAAGCTCTCCTATGTTTGAACTCTCCTCTACAAACCCCTGGCCTTTTAATTAACTGAAACGTTGTATTTCAGCAGATGTGCAGGGGGCAGCATTATGGTTAAGATCCTGAACTTCAGTTCAGTTCAGTTCCTCATCCTGTTAATGAGCTTTCCTGCATGATCACAGACAAGATTTTCATTCCTTTGTGCTTCAGTTTACCAGCTTCGCAATGCAGACAGTTATGCTTCTGTTGTTCTCAGGCTTACAAATTCCCAGTCTGGACAGGGAATTTGAATATGAGAGAGATATGTAATTATAATAAAAGAGGCAACGGTCCAATTTTTAATTGACAACAGAGTAAGACTAGCAGCTAATGGTTTGGGATTTCTTTTTAAGAAACACTGCTTTTACATATATTCAACAACAAATATTTAGTGCCTTTAACATAACAACTATATGGCTGTACTTCAGTTATGGAGCATGAAGTCATTGCCCAAGTGCGTGAGAGTAAAGAATCCTCTGATAGGCATCTCCACCACCTTTTTGCCTCTACATCATATTAACCTGTAGGATAATAATAATGTAATAATTATGTTGATGTTTATGATGAAGTATAGGCCCCAGATCTTCTCATCAACTGTGAAGCCTAAACACACCCCAAATAGTCCTTGGGCCTTTCAGTCTACAGTATCTCTTCTTTCCTAAACACAATCAATATACAGAGCTTCCTTACCAGCTTGGGTATGAGCAACAGATAAAGTTAAGTGCACTTTTGAGATCCTGGAACATTTCTTTTTAATCCATCAGTTTCATATGTTATATATACTCATCTATCCCACAAAAAGTACACATACAAAGCCGCAGATGGCTTCAAAACATCCTTGCATGGAAGACTGAAAGAATTCTTGTTTCTCTCTTACACTATTCAGTTAATTTTAGATCCAGTACCAAAGGTGCCTCCAAAACCATTAACCTAAGATACAACCAAGGGAATAGGTGGAAATTGTAGCCTTCCTGTCACCATAGGATCATGACTAGACTTCCAGGAACATCAGGCCTGAAAGGGCAGCCTGCACAATGCATACTACAAATACAGTGAAAATGACTCATTACTATAGCTAGATTCAAAGGAATCAGCTTTGAATTTGCTTTATCCTTCTCTAATGAACCTGGCTTCCACCTTCCCTCCCAAAGATGTCACCTCTGCCCCTCAGGTTAACTGCACTTCCTTTGTCGATGGTCATTTGTTCTAAGCCACAAAATCCAGAAACAGCTGCCCCCACTCCCATGACACACAAGTCAAGGAAAACCCAAACCCAACGATGTCTCTGGCCTCACATATATGAGTGCAGGGAGGGGTAAGTAACCTGTAAGTTCTCAGAAGAAGAGATCCAACATGCTTTTCTTCAGGTCTTGAAAAAGCACTTGGCCAGGTAGGAGTAGGATGAGGTTTCTCTGAATTTAAAATCAGTTCCTGCCAAAGAGCCAGTAAGTTTTCTGGCAAGAAGAACCACTCAACACAGGGAAAGCAGGGCCTGAAGTACTGGTTTAAGAAAAGATTCCCAGGTAATTTTATCCCAGGGCTAACAGTAATGATGCACATAATACCTTTAAATATTATCCTACTCTGTAGACAGGGAAATTGATAGCATCTGCTCATCTTGGAAAGAATATGGTAGTTAAATGGTTAACTTATTTTTTAAAATTGCTGCGCTAAGATCCACCAGTACGTACAAAATATCTTTGGGGATTGGGAGGTGCAGTCATCCCAAGATACTCATCCCAAGACATCCTGCTTATCTGGACTACATCCCCTGAAAACTTTTTTAATTCTGGCAGTAGCCCATAAACACCAAGAAGCCGCAGCTGTGCTCCCCTTCTGCAACAGGATGTTGACTGCTAGATCACATTTTCTTAATGTAAACCAAGTCCATTAATACTCCAGTAAATCAGCTCAATAAACCCTCCTCCAAAAGTCCTCAGGCTGGCCCAAGTGCAGTGATGTGACATTGAGGCAAGGCAGCTTCTTAACTTAGAGGCATCAAGGAAAAATTACTGTGCCAAGGGCCCTTTAATCATAAAAGAACCAACAGCCAGAGGCACAAAAGGCGCTCTCCTTCAATAATGGCAGAGATACTGCAGCAACTAATGAACAATTACAGAGCTGCAGCTAAAGAACTTACTGTCAGTGCCAAGATGGGAGGAACCAGGCTCAGGAATAGAGATTTAGAACACAAATTGTTTTTGCAGAAGTGACACGACACTGACAATAGACCCACTATCATATGATTTCAAACAGCTATATTAGAGAAAAAAATGTACATGTGACTGCAGGGAGGGGATTCTGCCTTACAAAACCTACATCTTCAGAAACTAAGACAATAAAAAAGTTCACATTATGATCTATAACAAGAAAAGACAATTATAGCTGTTCGCTTACAGCCCATTTTAACTATAAGAAGTCACGTTATGTATCCATTAGAATGGACCAAGACTATACTGAAGAAAGATATAAAGGGGAAAAAAAAAAGAGTGCTATTAAAAATAGATACCTTGATTTATGCCACTATTTTTCACTTGGGGTTCAATCACTTGAATTGTATCATCTTCAAGGTAGAAGTATATTTTACAATGTCTGATTCTATACAGCTCTTGATTTTTGTCAGGCACTTCTTCCTCAAAATAGGCATCAAAAGACAATACCTATTAAAAACAATAAATAAATATAAAGCAGCAAAATCTTCAATGCTTTTGCAAAATATGTCAATAAAATAAACTTGTATAGATTAAAAGTAAGTAAATGTATGGATTTCAGGAGGTAGATTTATTTCTCAGAAACATAAGAATAGAAATCCACATTAAATCACATAAATTTAAAATTCTTTGCTTGGCATTTTTATTATCACAACATCTAAGCAGGGATGGAACTCTAAAGTAAAGAAATAAATCAAATATAAAACTATCAGCAGGCTGCTTGGAAAATCTTCCGAACAAAGCACTTTTGATAGCACAATGAACTATCTAGGTCCTGAAGCAAATTTTAGACTTCTATTCAATGAAATGCTGGAAAATAAAGTGCATTATGACAGTAATGGCTTTACCATTGAAGTAAGTGGAAAGGAGAGCTCTTTTCAGGCAGATCCTGCAAGCTGTTTAACAAATGGTACTGAAGACTATCAGAGAGAAATGACGTTTTTCAGGAGTCATTTAGAGCTGTGCAATATTGGCATTTCAAAACTTACCTGGTTCTGCAATTCAGCAAGTGAGGAAGTCTCAGAGAGTATACCAGCTGGTCTTCATGCTCTCTTGCAGTAGCAATAATGCAAGAAAAAAACCCTTCATAGGCAAGGTGCTCAGTGGTTTACTACGGTGGCCTTTATGTCTGGAGATCCCAGCTCAAACTTGGCAAACCGTTACACAATTTTGCACTTCTTGGTATCATTTTTGGTGTTTAATCACCAAGACCAGTTTTAAGGGAATGTGCAAGTATCTACTTAGTAGTGTGTTATCTAACAGGATGCTTGCTGTGGTAATTATGTGCAAGAAGGCAATAATTAAGGTTTCCAACCTACCCCACCCCACCCCACCCCCCACCATTAGAGGAATAAAATTTAAATTACAATCAAATGACATAACTGTTACCTAGTAAACCTGATGGCATTAAATCTTCACACAGAAGAATCTAGATACCATCGTTATGGTTTGTTTAAGTAGTGCAACATGCAAGCTGAACAACCTACAGATGAAACAGTTGAAAACAAATAAAAATTCGTTCTGGCCACATGTAATTTTTAACTGTGGATTTCACTGTTTCTTGTAACAAACACACAAACACTGGATAAAACATCTGACATACAGCTCTATCATCCTTTAACACCTCTTTTCCTTCCATTTGTCCAAACACTGGTGTATAGTGCCATTTTTGGTGACCAAGGTATCCTTCCCGGCCTCCAGATGCTATTCTGGAAGGACCAGGAGCCCTGTGTAAATCTCTTGAATACTCCAGGGGATTTGAAAGGTACCATGGTGGAACCACTATATCCCAGTCTGAACATCCTGGGGTTCAGCTGGCAAGGAGCTGAATTTCATTCCTTGCCCAGCTGCTGATAAGCCACTCAACCATTGGAAACTTTCTTAGATGCTATACCCTCTTCTCCCTATTCTGCTAGTCCCACTAGAGCACAGTCGTTTGACAAACGTATTGTTCAAGTTCCCTATTTGATTACTAATTGTTCTTAATTTTGTCAATGAAGTTTTCTGACAACGGTTGTCTTGTGAGACACCAGCCAGGTGAAACGGTCTGTTTGCATAGATCTCCAAGCACAATCAGGTCCTAAATACACCATATTTTTTTCTTTCAGTGAGCATACGCCTATGTCCTGGTTTACTCCATTTGAGGAATTCGTGCAAGTTCTTTTGCACTTAAACTTTATTCTCTTTATACCCTTATCAACAAGCTAGCGTATGAAATATACACAGCAGCCAACTGCAATTTTGCAGATCAAAACAGATGATTCAGGAAGGGTAAGGAGGAGAAGGAACAGAAAAGAAGATGACTTACTTTTCATTCCAAAGCAAAATTAGTTTTAAAAATACTTGAAATGTAATGCTGCCTAACTCATGTCTCATCTGTAGTACATTGCTGTGTGCAAAGTTCCTATCCCACTCTTTAAAAAATTAAATGTTACATATGAAAACCAAAAGTAACAGATATTGAATAAACTCTGTGGCATTTTATAAAGTTGGCACAAGGTTTCCCTGGCACCTGTGGCAGTCAAATTATAAACATCGTTTCAAGGAGGCCTTGTGTGTGTACTTAATCATAGGAGAAATTAAATTTACACCTGCTTCCTATTAGGCATATGAAATTACAAAAACTATTTCTTAACCTACTTAATAATGAAGTTTTATGCCTGTCCTTCCTCCAGCTACTATGGTACTACTGAAAGTTAGAAACCAAAGAAAAATTGTAAGAAAGCAGACTACATTTAAAAAGATAAACACCTACTCAAACTATTTTTTTTGCTGAGTCACAAACTGCAGGACTGGAGGACATAGCTGCATTCTAGGCTCTTAACTGAGGAAACTAAATTAGTTGGGTAGTTCCCTTTAACTGTCTGCAATTAACACAAACACATGAGCCCTCCAGAGGCCAGTTCTGAACCTGCAAACTCCCACCCTGTATTGCCCTGCAGAGGAACACTGATTAGACAAGGAATGTAAGAAAGGCCAGATAGTTCATCTCACCAGCCACGTTCGGTGGCAGGTCCCCGCTGCATCCTACCTAACCCTTTTATTTCATAAACGTAGGTCCAAGACCTGCTAACTTATGTATGGCCCTGAGAAGCCAACGCACACCTCGTAGTTGAAAGACGGGTGCAGATCAAGCAAGTACAGGACTGGCTGAAGCCTTAACGCTTTGGCACATTAGATCAATTCATATCTGAGCACATCACTGAAAACTATGTGCTCAGTACTAAGGACTTCTTAGGTAATGTTAACCGAAGTCACGTGTATCTGTTCAAGCCTTACATTTTCTTGTAGTAGTTCTGGTCTACCAAAGAGACGAATGTGTAATTGTACTGCAATTACCTGCATGGCTTTTCTTTTAAAGCAAAAATTATGAGATTAGCTATTCTTCCCAATATTTAAATACCATAATCATTTAGTCATGCAACATTTCTGCAATCTGCTGAATGATTTCTTTTTCTGGATCATTTTTCCTCTCTGATTGTAGGCTTTTTGCTTTAGAAATAAAACATTGCTAAGTAGAATTTAACGTAAATTTAAACATGGAAAGTAATGACAGTGTGCTACAAAATTCATATCATCACAGATTATAGTTATTTAACAACTCTCTAATGTGTCACCACATTCTTACAAAATAAATAAAAAATATATTAATTTAACATTCCCGTGTCTATAATGGACACCATCTACCTGTATTACACTTGAACAGATCACGCAAAAGTCAACAAGACTTTGAACAAGCAAACATGATGGCATAAGTGAATTCCGAGCCTATAACACTCCACTGTGGTTAATGGTTCCCAAATGCCCATGCACATTTTCTCCTGGACTGAGGTCTACCTTACATTCTTTCTTACCAGGTTGCCAAGTAATTCCTTTACTGTCACCATTTTCACTAAAAAGAAATATATTGACCACTCCCTAATTTTTATTATATCCTTTAGGAGATGTACCCCAATACAGAAAAATTTTTATATGTAGCTGTATGGCATGATGTATGTTTATATTAATTGTCCAATATACCAATATGATGGAAAAATAGATGTTACCACTCTTTCTGTCTATCTAGGGGATTTTTTTGTGTGCACAAAATAATCTTCTGAAGTACTTGACTAACTGAACTTCACCTTTATACCATCTTTGTCATATTGTAGCTATTCATAAAAAACATACAGATACAGATTTCTACATACCTGCTTGTCAAATGCTACCCAAGCAGGAGCATCACTTCCCATCCCTTCAGGAAACACACTGTATTTAGGCTTCAGCTTCTGACCAGGTAACGGTTCGCCTCCTATTCCAGGTTTATCTTCTCCAACCAGCATAGAAACATTATTGCAGTAACCCCAGTGCTGTGACTTGTGGAACTTTTCTTTCCCAATCTGTCAAAAGTTTGGAAGAAAAGAGAGAAAAAAAATCTGTGTGTTTGTTTTTGAATCCATAAGAGTTAACTATCTAGGCAAGGGGGAGTAATCATGTGAAAGTTTCTCTATAATTACTCTTAATATAGAGTCTAAAAACCTGTAACAACTGGTACGCTGCAAGTGAAGTGACATATTTCAGTGGTCAATTTGCCAGCCTTATAGATGAAAATGGAAAAAATATTCCAGTAATTTACCCAGGCTGAGAGACAGGATGATACCAGCCATTTTCCCTGCCTCCTTCCCTGCAACAAGGATTGAGGCGTGTGGTAGAAAGAAGCAAGTCACCCATGAGAACTGTTGCAAAAGGTAGAGGGGAAAAGCCTTTTCTATACATTGCCAGAGGAAAAATCAAAATGGCTCAGGAGTACCCAGAGAAGAGCTTGCTCTCATTACGTATGTTAAAGAACTTATTTACACTTGCATCCCCAAGGGCAAAATAAATGGCTTCGTACTAGTGAATACACTTGAATTTGGGGAGGTTGGATCTGAATCAAAAGACAGAATAGTCATTCCACCTGGGCTTATTCCAAAAGGTCTCTGTAGTGACTTCTTTATATTATTACTATTTTTTCAGGCAACTAAGGATGGAGTGCTTAAAAAAATACACACAACCAACTGCAAAGAAACCCATCTTGCCTACTTGCATTTCTTGGCTGGGGCTGCAGCCTGTCTTGAAGTGATGCAGAAAGCCTCTGGCCTCACATGAATACCAGCCCTGCCTGTGGGAATGTCCCTCCTAATGAGCTGGCTGCTCTGCAGGCCCCTTCCCTTGCATTGAGGCAGTGGTGTGAGCTGCACTCGGGCAGGAATCCCCCAACGACCCCACACATCAGTCTCACACAAGAGGACAGGGAAATAGGAAAAGCCAACAGCAAGCTCCACTAACCCTTCCTCCCATGAGCAGCAGTTCTGACCCGTTAGCTCCTCTTGCTCTGCTATTCCTCCCTCCCTTGCCCTCTCAAATCCTCAAAACACTCTGTCTGGGAAGGCGGAGGAGGGCCACTGGCTAATTGCACGCTGGCACACCTAGTAAGGGGAGACAGAGACTCCTGCAGCGGTGCCCTCCCTCAGCCGGGGACTGGGTGACCATGAGGGAAGATGAGGGAAGAAGGGGGAGGAACTGGTGTTATGAGTGAGCACAGAGAAGGCCCTGGGTAGAGGAAAAGGCTGGACAGCAAATTTTCACAGTAGCACTGGAGCAGGTATGTCAGTGAAGTAGCAGAGGGCCAAAATTGCCTGAGCAACACTCATTATCACACACATAAGTATTTAAGCCAGTACTCCCTTAAAAGGTGTAGACAACTCTAAGTTATTATCAGGAATGTAAAAATGGCCAAGGAAAACAACAAAGAAAAGGACCAGATCATTGTTTTCCATCATGGCAACGTTCAAGTGCTCCAAGATAACCTAACATGCTCAGCCCAGCAGTACTGGGAACAAGTGCAAGCAGTGAAGCAGCAAAACCTGAAAGCAACCAAGTAGTTATTTCATTCCGCCAATATGAGAGGGTGAGGAATGTGAAAGGCAGCTAACCAACCTCGGGGCTTGTAACATTCAATGCTTACATATACAAACTACTGCACACTGGAAGTTACAGTCTGAACTGTTCACCTGCCTTGCAGTGCTCGAAATCCAGCGATGCAGGACGGAGCGCTGCCCTTGATGCAAACAGCTCAGTCACTACCTTAGTTTAACCTTTGCTTAAAATCCTCTTGCATACCACTTGTGTCCTTTTGCAAGAACAGTGCTATGGAAAATAATATACGACTTACTATTTTTACAAATTATTAATACCATAATAATCAATGGCCATACCTTGCCTAGGTTAAAAGCTGGGCTAGCCAGCACCCTTTGAAACAGTCATTACAAAAAGAGGTAAGGTTCATACCCTGGGGACAGTAATGACTGGGAATATGGAAGCACTTTCCCAGAGAAGGTATTTACAAGGTAAGCAATGTTTTGAAAAGAGGTAAACAAAAGGGCACAGGGCAAGTATCATAGTTTAAAGAATAATACTAAGGAAACTAAGATGTATTCCTGAACCATATGCTTATAACTCAAGAACAAGGGTTACTGAATAAAAGAGAAAACCAATAAAAGGAAATACTTGTTTGTGTAATGGCTAGTTAGCCCACGGGCCCCCCTGCCACACAGCATTGCTCAAGCCAGGAATTTAACAAGATCAAATAAAGAGCTGCATATTTGCAGGAATAATGCCCCAAATACAGTATTTCATAGCAGCACGTTTTTGTGAGCTGTGATATAAAATTTCATGCTTTGATGCACAGTGTAAGCACTGACATGTAGGCATTAGGAGCAGATCTTAATGGGGTCAATCCACCCTTCCCTGAAGAAGTGGAACACAGGTGCTCTCCTGGTACGGGACTCCGGAACAGATGGGCTCTGTCGGGGCCTGGTACCCGCTTTGTAACACATCTGCACTTGGGATGGTTTTCTTCCTCTCCTGTGGGTGCTAATGAGCTGGCCTTTCTTCTTCTCTTTCTTTTTTTCATAATTTTGTTCCTCGGTAAACTGATGAAGAGTTGGGGAGAATTCAGAATGGGAGGGAGCTTTCTCCATTCATCAGTTCAAACGTGGAATAACTACAGTCAAGCTCAGCTTGAAACGAGAAGTAGGCAGAAACATCTGATTTATACTGAAGGTGCTACAGAACAGATCCATTTTTTGGCACAGCAAGTATTTAATTATTTTCCCCCTATTACCAAAGCATGAGTTAGGGAGAAAGGCATAGCTATCAAAGCACAGTGAAGGTGGCAGTTTTCCTGAGCGAAGGAAAGCTTCCCTCAGAGCTTCTTCTAGAAGCATTTGCTGTTCATCTGTTTCTGGGTTTTGGCGAGCTAGAGCATGATAAAGTGTTCATCAAAGTAATCCAGGTTTACTCCTACTGGAAATTTTCCAGAACTTCGGGAAGAAACCGCAACACCATTCACAATTCGATATGAAAAATACAGGGCCCGACAGCTGCGATTCTGTTAAGAATCTTTTGTGGCATTCTTGTAACTTTTTAGGGTTCAACAGAAAGCCTATTTTAGATTCCTAATCATAGAATTACTTATAAGCCCCTTCTCCGTGAAAAGCACCTAAATCCATATGCAAAATAATCTCTTCTAAAAATCCGTACAGTTATTTTGGGGAAAAAAACCAAAACAACAACAAAAAACAAACAAACAAGCAAAACCAAACCAGAACAAAGTGTAAGAAAAAGACTAATTATAACTAAAGAACACAAAAGAGAAAAATGACATTTGGAAAGCTTCAGCTAATGAACTAAGACCACATCCAGCCTAAAATAGTGACAGAACATCATGTTACCTCCACACTAATATTAAATGACTTCTAAAAGAAATCTGTGAGAGTGCGGGGAAAGAGCTTTACTGTGTCTGCTGTGCTAATGCAGCTAACTGAGCAGGCTGTAGATCTGCTGAACAAAGCTGGCCATTTTCTGTGCGGTGAGCCTGAAATAAATATTGAGGATACATTCAATAGTGACTAATGCAAAGGTCAGGATTCTCTGACTGCAGCTATTGGCTTTGCAAACTCAGACACTGCAGTCCTTGGGGAGCACTGCCTCGTGCTCTCTCCATCTTGCTCTTCAATACTCTGGTACAGAGTCACAGCAAACTCATCAGGGTGCTGCACATTTCAGCTGAACCAAACACAACCGGAAATCTCTCACCACAGTGGCTAGAGTGATGAGGGAGCCCTGTGACACGTACTGTCAAACATGAGCTATGTGTTTTTAGCCAAGTTCCACAGGGAGTGATGGCAGAAGTGGCTGGTAGCAGTCCAGTTCTCTTCCCCATACACAATTTTAATTCCCACCTTGAGAACAGCAACTGCACTGTGGAGGTCCTGCTCAGATCCTGTATCAGGATGAACTGTGACATTTCTGAACCACTCTAGGCTGCTGATACAACCTGCTGGTTTCTTTGGCTAAGCAATGGAAACAAACGCAAATGCTGCACACTGTGCCAGTCAAATTCATGTGACCTCCTGCCCTGTGGAAAGCACAGGTCACCACCAGGTGAGGCTAAGTGGTACTGTAAAAGGATGATTACCTTAAGACATTGTTCCTAGCAACTGTGGTGCCCCCCTAACACTGTATCAACACTAACAGTGCATCAACACTAACAGCCTGGATCAGGACAGGAAAGAAATGGACCTGCTGGAGAGGTCCTGGAGAAGAGAAGGCTCTGGGGAGACCTGATTATGGCCTTTCAGTATTTAAAAGGGGCTTATAAGAAAGATGGGGACAATCTTTTTAATAGGGTCTGTTGCAGTAGGACAAGGGGTAATGGTTTTAAACTGAAGGACGATACTCAGATATAAGGAAGAAATTTTTTATGACGAGGGCAGTGAAACACAGGAACGGGTTGACCAGAGAGGTGGTCAGTGCCCCATCCCTGGAAACATTCAAGGCCAGGTTGGATGGGGCTCTGAGCAACCTGATCTAGTTAAAGATGTCCCTGCTCATTGCTGGGGGCTTGGACTAGGTAACCTCTGAAGGTCCCTTCCAACCCAAACTATTCTGTGATTCTATTAGCTTGTTCTTACTGCTTGGGCTGGTACAGCCTGAGAGAAAACAATGGATATAAAGTGTCCAAAATGCAACCCTGACAGGCAGCTACAGAAAGATTTGTGGTTGGGGGTTGTGAACAGAAATGTGGGGGAGTAGGGCTGAGGGGCAGGAGGTAGTGGAAGGGGTTCAGGAAAGAAGGACAGGGAAAGAAGGGAAGATACAGCAGGCAAGCTTACTTATAAAGGGGTTGGCAAGCGCTCTGTCAAGAAAAACTAATGTCCCCTTTTGGCACCAATGATTACAGAGCAGAAGAAAATACTCCAGCCAGGAAACAGAGACAGCAACAGTACACAGTTGAGGGCAATTCCAAGCTCCCGCAATAAACAAGGAAGATGAGGAATTTCTGCTGCGCCACTAAAGTTTGCAACAGAAACTGATATTCTCAAGGATGTATTTTCCCCCGAGATCTACAAATGCATTGTCTGATTCTCTGAGAAATGCCATGCAGAATTGTTGCACAGACTTTTCTCTCAGAGGGATTTCAAACCTCGGGCAAGAAAACACACCGGTCAGCTAGCACCTGGTATATCTGACCCATACGAATATGCGGACCTCTCCATTAGCTGCTGGTATCAGAAGGGACGACTGCCTTGGACAACGGGAGACAGACCAGTAACACGAACAGAGGCAGACCAGTAACACGAACAAAGGAAGTAACGATGCTGTTGCACTGCAACCAGCATCATCCCTGACACAGTCTGGACTCTGAATGCACAAACTTTTTCCTGCAGTAACAGAGTAAACTTATTATATGCTACGTTTCCACCACATGCAGGATTAAATATGGTTATCAAGATCTGTGATTTTCTGTCTTGAAAAACAGGCAACACACACATAACTTGTACAAACAAAGCTGAAAAACTCGCTATTGCACAATTTCAGTATCAGTTGGGCTCTGCAGACAGAAGCTACGGCACCTAAGTCTCCCTTAAACATTGGCTTCAGTGGCAGGAATAAAAGAAAAGAAATGCGGAATTCCCCTTTTCAAGCGTATGCAATGGGTAGCAAAATTTTCAAACAGGTAACCCATGAATTACTGTTTGTGAAAGTAAAGAAATTAATAAACTCTGTAATGCAACAGGACGGTAAATGAAGTGTGAGCACCACACCCTGCCACTGCCAGCCAGACAAGGGCACTTCCCCAGGGCTGTCAGGACAGAGGAGCACCAGCCCTGCCGAGGGGCAGCAGCGCTCCCAGCACAGACTCTGGCATCCCCAGCCTGGGCGAAAGGCAAAGGTCCAACTCCTGCCTATCAGCCAGCATCCTGAAGGGAGGGCCCTCGCAAGTGGGCAGGAGATGGGCTACTCTGCGCTCAAAATACGAGCCTGCTCCATCATTAGATCTCTTGATCGCCCACATGTGAACACGGCAGGCACTGCTGATGACCAGCTTATCTTTGGACTTCTGTTCAAGGAACAGGAGTTTGAAAGATGGTGAAGGGGGTTTATTTAATGGGTGGACTTGTGTGTATACAAACTACTGTAATTTTGATTTTAAAGATATTTGGAAAAATAGGGGCAGTTCCTTTTACTCTCTTCGTAGACAGTAAATATTTTATGCTCCTGACGCCTTGTGCTAGCTGTCATTCTTCTCCACCCCATCGAACCAAACATCAAACATGGCACTGCTTGTGCTATGCATGTCCCTTTCATCCCTGCTCTTCATTTAATGCAAAGGAAACGTTACCCTATGTTACTGTAGGAACCACTCCAGCTGTTTTAAAAGTGCCTATCACCTCTCTGTTTCCCTCCAGCCTCATTAGCTGTGATGCCCACGCAGCGAGATTTTGTCCCAGCTATGCAGGACCGCAGTGGCAGCGTCACTCTCAGGGAAGCTGCTGAAACAGGCACCAGTCGGTTGCAGTTAAGGGAGGTAAAAATAGTGAAACCCAGCAAGGCACTGCTGCCCAGCCTCACTGCCCTTGCTCCCGGCCGGAGATGAAGCATTTCTGCTCCTGGCTGGAGACAAAGTATTCCCGGTAGAGCTAGCTAGAATTAATAATAATCGTAACAGAGGAGCAATACAAGGGCTAGTGGCTCTTGGGTCTGGAGACCTAAGCACTGCAGAAGGATTTCTTCCTTCCCATTTTCCAGTGCAGTTCCTGCTGCCCTCAAGTTAGATTCCATGTCCCTAACTACCTTAAAGCTCTGATTTTCTGAATACAGCCCAGCCACCTTATTAAACACATCCAAGGTAGACAAAATGCCTCTTCCGCTGCCTTTCATGGGCCTATATGTGAGGCAGGTGG